TAATTTGCATTTTGTTTGATCGGATATTGTTATAATTTCACAATGATTATAATATGATCACGAATTACATAACAATTATAAAAAAGAGGAAGCATTACCAAATCAAAAAGAATCAAAGAGATGATATCTAAGATCAGAACGAAAAATGAGCCTATGGAATGAACTAATAAACTTAAAAAAAAAATCAAAATGAAAATTGAAAGGAAAAAAACAAAAGTAGGGGAGTTATCAGCTATGCTAATCTCCTCCTTTCCAAGCAGGGGTTAATAAAAAAATTTACATGAGCCAACTCTACGTGGGAGACAATCTAAAAATTCAAAGCGCACATGACTTGGAAAGGGGGGGAAAAACATAGGCAGGAAATTATAAGAAAACACTGAACAATACCACTTCCACGACCTTGGTATCTGTAACGTCCTAAAATGCATAAAAAATTATAACTTGTTTACGGAGATGCATCAACAACAATTCCAACTAACTAAATTAAGTCAATGAAAAGAATATCATGTAAGGTTAATATTCTTCTCGACTTTCCATGATGCATGCAAGTCAATTACTAATTTAAAAAAAAAATCCCAACATTTATGCATGCAGAGAAGTTTTGAAGACATCAAGTTGTAACTAATTCAACCAAGTTTCTCTGCCTCTAAGTATATATCACACACCATCTACCTTAACTTACATACTCATTCTTACAATTTCTGTAACACTATCAAATTGATGTCTCAACTGCTACTTAATTCACATAATATTTTCATAAAATTAAACATATCAATTCCAGGTTTCATATCTTGATCTGATATGCTCCAGATATTAGTGTATTCCATCATTTTTCTGGTGGATCTAGATCTTCTATCTCTGATAGCTAACACAAGGGCTAGTTATGAAATGTGTCAAAATCTCTAGAATTATAATGTGACTACTCAAACTTCCTACTGAGCCTACTATTCATACAATTGATTTGAGCAGTCACCAACTACTACATCCTCAGTCTACCATACAAAAAGGCTGAACATTTTGCTGGTACTTCAGTATGGTCTCCATCTTCACATGACTCAAGATGCACAGATGAAAGCAACATTGAGCTCCACAATAAGCTAAGTTTTTTATCATTGTTCCACAACACCTGGTAACTTAACACGCATCCATTGGCAGACTACGAACCACAATGATGACCATGCCTTCACACTGCTCAGTATAATGATAACATCAGCAGGACTGGCACATAAACACATATTTACTAAACCATCAAGAGTCTTTTATGTTTGTTGGTAATTTATAGTGGTTAGTCCTTCTTTGTTCCTTACCCACACAACCAGACTTTGCATGTCTTTTTCAACAAAAGAATGTAACAACTATTGCCTACAGACTTTCATGACCATTAAATCTGATATTAAAAAAAAAAAAGATAAATAAATCAGTAATTGCATATCCCACATTCTACACAATATATATGCGCAGTTAATAAGATTAATGATGTAATATTAATAAATATAAGTTAGTAATGGTTTCCTTAATATGGTATATAATATTTCATAAAATAATCTTATCAGACCTCAAGTCACCTAATTTTATTAAGTCCACCCTCACAAATTATAGTGTTCATATTCTGCTGTGATATATCATTTCAACGCTCATAAAACATGATCCCAAAATCATAAAATACTCATATGGTAATGTAGTGGATGTGATCAGTACCATATTAGTTTGATTTATTCATATTGAAGTTGTCCTGTCATTATATCTATGAATAATTTGTTCATAACACTACATAATCTATGATAGTAACACTTGCATTTGATTAGATCATAACTATATTTAATTAAAAAGAACAAAAGAATATATGGATAATTTTGCTTCAATTACATCTATATATAACATAAGCTAAACATTCTGGTACTACGTAAATATAGACAATGACAGAACAACTTCAATATGAATAAATCAAACTAATACAACTGTGATTACTATTGGATAGCACTGAATAATTTGTTCATAACACTACTTAATCTATGATAGTAACACTTGCATTTGATTAGATCATAACTATATTTAATTAAAAAGACCAAAAGAATATATGGATAATTTTGCTTCAATTACATCTATATATAACATAAGCTAAACATTCAGAAAGTCAGTTACTATTATCTATAATTCTGTAGAAATCCCGATATAATAGGAACCCCGATATGTTAGGCAGATCTCTAGGAATTAATTGTAAATAGCATAGAATTTAAACTGTAAATGATTTCCTGATTGTAATCGCATGATTTTCGACCTCACCATTGATGGGTCCAAATTCGGTTTGCTGTATATATGTTGATGTTCAGATTGAATAAAACATATGGAAGAATTGTCTCCCCTGTCTCGTCTTCTTCAAATTCAATAAACACAATGTCTTCAAATATAATTTGTTAAATGCGTGTGGCAGCAAAATGCACTTCAAATCCTAAGACAGACACTCATGTTTCACATCTAATTTTTTCTGGCTATAATAACTGCACACATGTGCTTCGGAAACATAACTTATCCCGCAACTGCAATCATAACTTATCCTGCAACCACAATCAGCTTTTTCCACCTTTTGCTACAACTTAAACAAATATAAAGAATACAAGCAACCTACCTTCCTTCATTTCACATAGCAAGCAAGGTCAACTTATTTTCTAAAATTCTGACATAGGACACAATTTGACACTTTCAATAAAGTGGAAAAAAGGGACTGAATACTGACTTAAATAAATAATGCTTTAGATAAAGATTGCTGACTGCTATGACATATGCCTTTCCCACACGCCTCCTGCACCTTCATGATCCCAAAAACGTGACTAAATTTTAATGAACACGGTCCATAAATTGTCCATCAACCATCTCGAGACCAAGTTATAATTACAATAGTTATTTTGTGACTATAATCTTCCATTAGACAGCTGAAAAAATTTAATGGTAGCGTATTGGCACAACTAAAATCAACTTCACACTAAAAACTACTTTCCCATCAACTTTACATACACACCTGTGTGCCTGTTTAAAGAAGTCATAGTTTGAAACAAAAAAAAATTAACTTGACACCTTTTACTGAACTTAGATTAGTTTATTGAAAAACTAAGCAAGACATTGAAACAATGATAATCATATCATTGAGAAAATGTAGAATGTAGAAAGAACATCATGCACTGAGGACGCAAAGTATAATATATATAAAATGTGGTTATCACATTTGATAGCAAAAATTGCTTGACCAAAATAAATTGAAATGAGAGAATTATTTACACATCTCTATTGATCAAAACCTGTCCCACAAATACATTAAAAAAAGTATACATATGAAACCCCAGAAAATTCGATTAGTCTCCATAAATAATTTTTTTAGAAAAAAAGGAAAACGCCACCACATTTTATTGAATTTGTGGACTAATATCTAAACCTACTAATGCCTCCACATCATTTGAAACATAACCATCACAATTATGAATTTATGGACCACCATAGCTTTGATAGAGTTGGAATGTGTTGGCAAGCCAAGATCTCACCCAAAATTGAGGATCCTTTTGCTGTTAAATTTTAGTGATCGTTGATGTAACTGCATATCAATTGTAAATCTCCAGTCTAGCTACAAACATATATAAACATGAAATAAGGAACTGGATAATATCATAAATATATATATTAGATAATCAAGAAACACAACAGCTATCTCCTCAAAACATGAACAGAAATGACCAAAAAGCTGATCATAATAGCGTATAAAAGATTCTCCGTCTCTAAAGTTCTTGGAGAAAAGGCTAATTCAACTACCAACCTATTAGCAATGCTCAGCCACTCTCATTCCCCAATGAATGATAATATTGAAAATTGTGTTTCAATGTACCTCCATGCTTGTGAATGAAAATGGCTCTCAAATCCAGTGTACTTCCACGATCATGGTTGTCTTTCTTGCTATTTTGTTGACGAAGTTTAATTCCATGTGAAGGTTCTGATATAATTAAAACTTAAATTTTGAGAGGGAAAAAAAGAAAAACAAAACAACAAGCAATGCCATAATTAATGTAGATCCATGACCAGTCAGCTCATTTTCAGATGAGAATCAAAATACTGTTCTATGAACATTATTTTATGAGTGGAAGTTATGGAGAATGATGAATGAAATGAAAAATTTGCAAAAGTTAATGCAAATGATTGCTTGTCATTCCAATTTATTTACTTGCATTTTTCAAACTTCCTTCACACCATATATGCATCGCATACAACATTTTAATGAACCATTCAAGTATTGTTGCTTTTTTCTTTTCCTTCCTTAAAATTTTTTTGTTGAAATCAACGGCTTGAGGGTTCTAAAAATCATACCCGATGAGAATCATGAAGCATAAATAGACAAAATGGTGGGAAATATAGGATGAAGAAGAATAAAGTAGAATAAGCACGAAAGAAATGGAAGGGAAAAAAAAATGCTCATGATAAGAAAAGACCATGGAGAAATCCCACCTTTAAAGCCAAAGTAGTGAAGTTGTAGGTCAGAAATCAATCAACCAAAATGGAGATGAAGTTGAAGACCCCTCTAGTTGATCTCTCGGCCAACAAAGAGAAGAAATGAAAAAGAAAGAGAAAAACAGATGAGACAAGGAGAGATTACAAATACAAAGGGTGAGAGCAGAGCATCATATATGGGGGAGGAAAAAAAAATTCTCCCTTCACGAGAAGAGCAACAACTTGAGCAAAGAAGAAACTGCTTGAAGCTTCTAGAAGATTCCCCCCGGGGTCCCTCACCGGCATTGGTGAAGAGAAGAAGAAAATAAGGGGAAAAGGAAACAAATTAATAGAGCTTCAATTTTGAATTTGAACAGAGGAGTAGGTGTAGTAGGCTAAGAAAATGACAAATGAGAACATCCTTCTAAAAAAAAAAAAAACAGTGATGCCGGGAGCTGGCACTGTTTATAAGCTGTTACTGTTCATAGAACAGTATTTTGAGTGAGGAGCCGACATGGATATGAAAATGAACCGGCTGATCATTGATTTTGATTTATTATTATAGGTTGATTGATTGGTCTAGTCTACATATGATGAAATTGGTTAAACTTAGAACTGGAGACTAAATTTGGCTTAAACAAATTGAAACATCAGATATTGAACAATATAATATCGCAGGCTAAACAAAATTAATTGAATAATATGTTGTGCAGAAGATAACGGGGGAAGAGCAAGCAATTCATACAAATGACTGAGAACTAAAATGTTACTGCCTAAATAGTTAGAACTGCATGTGGATTCAAAGAATCAAAACTAATTAGAATATGCTTATCAATGTTTGAAAGACGAGTCTTTTCAATAAGTTTTGAAGATTAATCTAACAACAAATCAGTACAGAAAATATTCAGTCCAAAACTCATCCACAAATAGCATTTAAACTTTTATCCAAGACTTCATTCTTCAACACTTCATGCATCCTCCCAGAGAGGATTTTTAAATTGGTTCCATGCTTGTGGCAGGTTGGCTGTACCATAAAAAATGGCGAGAAACATTTTCAATCTCTTAGACCTGATCCTTAGTTCGACAGGAAACTGATATTCCTCAACCACAATTTCGCAGTTAAGAATTCATTAGACATAAAATTTCTGTTTCCATCTCATTTACTTCTGAACCAAACAAGGGTTTAGTTATTGCATCCAGCATGGAATATGTGTCTCTTATTTCAGGGTGACCTATTTCAAGGTGAGATGGGTCGCCAACAAGAAACTCATGGAGAATGCCATTCACCTCAATAGCACTACATCCAGGAAATTTCCTGATTCCCAAGTCTTTCATCTTGTTTCTGACCTTGCTCACATCTTCCCATCTGTCGGCAGAAGCATAAATGTTAGCCAAAAGCGTATGCAAACTGGAATCACTATATTCAATATTTACCAGTCGTTGAGCAATCCTTTCGCCCATTTCAATATTGCCATAAAATCTGCAGGCACTCAGCAGAGATCCATAAAGTGGAATTATCATCTCATTTTTTTGATCTGGCAACTTCTTAATTAACTCTTCTGCTTCATGTAGCAGTCCAGCTCGACCAAGAAGATCAATGAAACACCCATAGTGTTGCACCTTGGGCTCAATTTGATATGTTCTCTTCATGGAATAAAAGATCTTACGCCCTTCTTCTACCAATCCCCCATGACTGCAAGCACTTAAAACACCAATAAAGGTGATGTCATCAGGTCTAGCCCTAAATTTTTTCATTTCTTGAAAGAGCTCAAGGGCTTTGCTTGTCTTACCATTCAATGCAAGACCACAGACAATAGAAGTCCATGTGGCTGTATCTCTTTCCCTTAACCTATAGAAAATCTCCAAAGATTTCTCTATGCAACCACATTTTGCATACATTTCAATTAGGGCAGTACCAACCACGGCATCCAATGTCACTTTGTTCCCGTCTATGTAACCATGAATCCATTTCCCTTGCTCCAGGGCTCCCAACTGAGCACAACCTGTAAGGAGAGTAACAACAATAAATTTATCTGGTTTGATTCTTCTCATTTGCATCTCTTGAAATAATGCAACTGCCTCATGAAAGCGATTGAATTGCACATAACCATTAATCATAGTTGTCCAAAGAACAATATCCCTCGTTGGACTTTTCTCAAACAAATCTCGAGCTTCATCCAGCTGACCACAAGTCACATACCCATTTATCATACTTGTCCAACAAATCACATTTTTCATAGGCACCTCATCAAAAATTTCCTGAGCTATACTTACGCAGCCACACTTGCAGTACATGTCCACTAATGCATTGCCCACTATAGTTGTTAAAAGGAATTCACTCAAGACATAACTGTGAATTTCCTTACCAAGATCCAAATCTTTTAATGCTGTACAGGCTGATAGAGTGCTTACCACCGTAGCTTCATCAGGCTTCTCATTGCTTTCTTCTAGCATCCGCTGAAAAATAGTAATGGCATCCTTGAATCTCCTACACTTTACATAACTTGTAATCATGATATTCCAAGAAACCTTATCTTTCTCTGACATATTTTCAAATAACTTTTCAAAACTATCTACTTTACCCAATTCTGCATACATTCTCATTAGTGAGTTACAAACATAAGTATCAAGCTCAAGCCCGGTCTTCACTATGAAGCCATGAACCTTCACAGCTTCATTAAACTGTCCAATACAACCAATAGCCTTGAGGACAAATGGATATGTATAATTATCTGGCCATAAACCATCTTTTCTCAGTTGACTAAATAAGGAAATGGCTTCTCTGAAACTACTCTTTTCCACAAAGGCTTTGGTCATAAGATTGTATATAAACAAGGATGGCTTATGAAGGTAGTTAAAGGTTCTACATGCATAGTGTAAGTCCCCAACAGATGAGTCAGTACAGATGACCATAAGTTTGCCGAGGGTGTCCAAGTCTTCATGTAGACCCGCCAGAAACATCTGAGCCTGGATTTGCTTGAGGTGGAACATTGATTTGCAAGCTTTGAGAAGGCCAATGCACGCTCTCTTGGTAAGTTTTCCACCATGTGTTGAGGTAGAGAACTTATGTGACTTAATGAGCAAAAGAAAAGTATGACTGTATACAGGCATTATTGGAAGTTATGCTGAACAATGCAAATAAATTTGTGAATGACGTGAAATTTTGACCTCGTCCCTTCATTTCAGATCATAGTCTAAACTCTCATGCCCTTCCTTTTGTTTTCTTATTGTTTTCCTCACATGGCATCCTTGAAGTATCATTGATTTTCTTCACAGGCTAACTCTGGGTTACAAAATTTCCAGATGTCATAATCATGAAGAAATAGAAGAAATCCCTAAGGAAAATCAACTCAAAGGTCAAGAAGGACAGAAAAAACAAATTTGTCAGCTAATATTTCAGCAGAATTTAAGGTGCACACAAAAGAACATTACTTGAACTGAGCAGGACTATGAAATCAGAGCATGTTCAAAGTTCACATGAAATCATCCTTTCCAAGGACTGCTTTCCAACAAATCTACCTAAATCACTGAAAGCAAGATTGAATAATGTTCAAATTCCACCGTCTACACTCTAGAGCATACCATCAAGTTTTTGTGGTTAAAAGTGTGTATGTGCTTCCCAAGGGAGGGAAGGCAGGAGAGGAGGCATAATAAAATAAACTGTTACATCAATAATTTATATCTCCCTTTACGAAAAAAACCACCAAAACAAAAATATAAAATATATTGATGTAACATATTGCACTGCTTAGAAGTTACAATGAATGGAACTATTTCCTCAATAAGAATAAGTAAATTTTCTTTGAGACAGGTGTTGGAAAGACAAAGCCCAAGGCCCAAGCCAAATAAACTTAGTGTTACTTGTTAAGTAGTTTTTTAGTTTACTCATTTATCTTTTCCGTCTTAGATCAGATAAGGATAGATAGCAATATCCTATCTTGAGTTATCCTTGTTCGGTTATATATATATGTTGTATTCCTACTCATTTAATATACAATAAAGACAGAATTATTCCGTCGACTTCATGGTATCAAAGCAGGTGCGATTTCGGCCCTGTGTATTGCGATCTGGAGAAGACGCATGAAGCCGCCCTTTGACCAGAGGGACTTGGCGAACTCGGCGACGTGAACAACACTGACTCGCGACCAGAGGGACTCGGCGAACCCAGCGACGCGAACCTACAGCGACCACTGTTCCTCGACGCACCCAGAAGCAGACGACGATGACACTTGAGGAATTTCCACCCCTGTTCAGATCGATGAGACGCACTGGAGGAAATTCTAACTCGCCACCCACGGCACTAATGACAGGTATATCATCACAGCAATCCGTTTCCTCTTCGTCTGTGGGAACCGAGTCGGTAACTTCTAATGAGACACAACAAATGATAATTGCCCATAAATTAAATGGAAGCAATTACCTACAGTGGTCTCAAAGCGTTCTCATGTATTTAAGAGGAAGAAGAAAGGAAGAATATATCACGGGAGAAGCCCCACAGCCAAAACCGGGTGATAGTAATTATAATACATGGTTTGCTGAGAACAACCTTGTAATGACTTGGCTATGTAACTCGATGACTGTAGAGATTAGTGAAGGCTACCTACTTGCTAATACAGCAAAAGAGATATGGGACGCAGCAAGAAGAACCTATTCTGCCATAGACAACACTGCAGCACTGTTTCATATCAAGAAACTGCAAAGAGAGCTAAAACAGGGTTCTATGACTGTAACTCAGTACTATACTGCCCTTACGCGCTTGTGGCAGCAACTGGACATGTTTGATGTCCATGAATGGAGTTGCAATGGTGATGCTCAATTATATAGAAAAATAGTTGAGAAAGAAAGGACCTATGAATTTTTGCTCGGCCTGATAGATGCATTTGAAGACGTGAGAGGAAGAATTATGGGACTGAAGCCACTACCATCGTTGTTTGAAGCATTCAACATGGTAAAATGTGAAGAGAGCAGGAAACAACTCACTCAGAATGTATTTACACCATCAGAAAACTCTGCCTTGACAGTGCAAGGCAGTAATGTACCTGAACCAAGAGGAAGGAAGAATTCAAAAGGCTGGTGTGATCATTGCAACAAAAATGGTCATACGAGGGACATATGCTGGAAGCTGCACGGCAAACCGGCTAATCTAAAACAAAGAAGAAGACCTGAAAGCAAGAGCTATTCTACAGTAGTTGATGAGGAGAAGAATGGAGAAACCTTAAGCCGGGAAGAATTACAAGTACTCAAACGGATCCTTGAGAGACACAATAACTCATCCGTAACTCCAAAGGCAAATCTAGTAAAGTCAGGTAATTCTATCATAGCTCTAAACGCCATAATGACCAATGATAACACTTGGATCGTTGACTCAGGAGCTACAGATCATATGACCGGTAACAAATCCTTATTCCAAACTTTAAAGTATTGTCACCACGAGAACCTAAAGGTGAAAGTTGCAAATGGAATATTTTCCAAAGTCTGTGGTGTTGGAACTGTCAAAATTCTTGAGAAATTAGAACTGCAGAATGTTTTATTTGTTCCAGAACTGGCATGTAATTTGCTTTCAGTAAGCAAAGTAACCAAGAGTCATCAATGTAGAGTGATCTTTGACGATGTTGGTTGTGTTTTTCAGGATTTGACAGCGAAGAGGAGGATTGGCATTGCTAAGGAATGGGATGGACTCTATTATCTTGAAGGCACAGATAAATATGTGAGCAAGGCATTATTTAGTTCAGATTCTTTGAATAAAGATGTATTACTTTGGCACTCTAGGCTAGGCCACCCCAATTTTGGTTATATGAAACACTTGTTTCCAGACTTATTTAATAAGAATTCAGCACCGTTTTTGTGTGAAACCTGTCAGCTTGCCAAACAAACAAGAACCTCCTATCCTAAACAATCTTATAAACCAACAGCACCATTCACCCTAATACACAGTGACATTTGGGGACCCACGAGAATTAAATCAACCTCTAATGCTAGGTGGTTTGTAACTTTTATTGATGACCACACTCGAGTGACTTGGGTATACTTGATGAAAGAAAAATCTGAAATTCTTAGAGTCTTCAAAGGTTTCCATGCTTTTATAAAAACTCAATTTCAAGGGGTAATTAAAATATTAAGAAGTGACAATGGGCGAGAATACCTTAGTACAGCCTTTAAGGAATTCCTTGACCAGCAAGGAATCCACCATCAAACTTCATGTACTTACACACCTCAACAAAATGGGATTGCTGAGAGAAAAAACCGACACCTCCTAGAAATAACTCGAGCCATTATGATTGCCCGAAATGTTCCAAACTCATTCTGGGGAGAAGCCATTCTCACTGCAACCTACCTGATCAATAGAATGCCCTCGAGAGTCCTGAATTACCAAACCCCTATACAAAAATTGCTTGAAACCTACCCAAGTTCACCCTTAGTCTCGGACATTTCCTTGAAAGTATTTGGCTGTGTGGTATACATACACCATAATGATGGTAACAAGCTTGAGCCCCGAGCACTAAAATGTATCTTTCTTGGTTATTCCCCGTCTCAAAAGGGATATCGATGTTATTGTCCGACAACAAAAAGGATCTATGTCACTAAAGATGCTGTTTTCTCTGAGGACGACGCCTATTATCCCAAAATACCCATTCAGGGGGAGAATTATAACGAATGGCTAACTCCAGATTCCACTGCTAAACCAATGCAAATAGAAACTGCAACACACCTAAACATCGACATCCCTACCAATTCACCTACTACTGTCCCTGAACCTGAGCCAATAAACAATCTTGAATCAACAATCCCACAACACCAGAACTCTCAACCTAACCACACCAACTTGGGAACAAGTGCGGACCAGCAGCAAAACACTGAGTCAGATGATGCAGATGAGCAACAAGAAAGTAGAGTCCCTTCCACTCCAAGGCATAACCAGGACTCTGACCCAATGTTAAATCCTGATGATCTTGGTTGGCCTATTGCTCTCAGAAAAGGTGTAAGATCTTGTACTCAGCATCCAATTAGTAAATTTGTTTCATATGAAAAATTATCACCAAAAATGCAGGCATTTACTACAAATCTCTCAAATGAGAGGATACCAAGGACATTCCATGAGGCAATTGAGAACCCAAATTGGAAGCAGGCTGTTAAAGAAGAATTGGAAGCTTTGAAGAAAAACAAAACATGGGAAATTACTGATTTGCCCCCAGGAAAGAAGACAGTGGGTTGCAGATGGGTATTTACCATAAAATACAATCCAGATGGAAGCATAAGTAAGTACAAGGCCAGGCTTGTAGCCCGGGGATACACACAGTCTTACGGAATCGACTATCAGGAAACCTTTGCCCCAGTAGCAAAACTCAACACCATTAAGGTCCTCCTATCAGTAGCAGCAAATCTAGAATGGCCTCTCTACCAGCTAGATGTGAAAAACGCTTTTCTAAATGGGGATCTCGAAGAGGAAGTATATATGGAGATACCAGCAGGATTACAGAATTCCAGTAATTGTTCTCCAAAGGTGTGTAAACTGCAGAAGTCATTGTATGGGCTGAAACAATCCCCTCGGGCTTGGTTTGGGAGATTTTCTCGTACCATGAAAAAAATGGGATACTCACAAGGCCAGTCAGATCATACCCTATTCATAAGGCATGCAGGCAACCGAATAACTGTCCTTATAGTATATGTGGATGATATTGTAATTACAGGAAATGATGAGGCTACCATACGAAGACTGAAGAAATCCCTGGCAACTGAGTTTGAGATGAAGGATCTTGGACAACTAAGATATTTTCTCGGGATGGAGATCGCTAGATCTAAAAAGGGAATTAGTGTCTCCCAGAGGAAGTATACTCTTGATTTACTGCAAGAGACTGGGATGCTTGGAGCCAAACCTGCAGAAACTCCCATGGAGGCTGATTGCAACTTAGAATACAAAGCGGATGGTGTACCTGTCGACACAGGAAGGTATCAAAGGCTCGTAGGAAAACTTATCTACTTAGCCCATACTCGTCCAGATATAAGTTATGCTATAGGGGTAGTAAGTCAATTCATGAATAAACCCCAAGAGCATCATATGGACGCGGTTCAGAGAATTCTGCACTACTTAAAAATGAATCCAGGAAAAGGATTGTTTTTGGAAAGGATGGGTCTAGAAGTATAGAAATTTATACTGATGCAGACCATGGAAGATCTTGGTTGGATAGAAGGTCCACCACAGGGTACACTACTTTCTTGTGGGGTAACCTAGTGACTTGGCGAAGTAAGAAGCAACCTGTGGTTTCAAGGAGCAGTGCTGAAGCAGAACTAAGAGCCTTGGCTCTCGGAGTCTGTGAAGGGATCTGGATAATCAGAG